ATATAAATCTAGACACAAGATAGACACTTTAGTAGATAAATCTAGACACAAGATAGACACTTTAGTAGATAAATCTAGACACAAGATAGAAACATAAAAAAGTAGATAAATCTAGACACAAGAGAGAAACATAAATGAATAGAAAAATCTAGACACAAGATAGTCACATAAATGAGTAGATAAATCTAGACACAAGAAAGACACATAAGTAGATAAATCTAGACACACGATTGATACACGAGTAGATAAATCTAGACACAAGATTGAAACACAAGTAGATAAATCTAGACAGAAAATTGATACACAAGTAGATAAATCTAGACACAAGATTGATACACAAGTAGATAAATCTAGACTCAAAATAGACACACAAGTAGATACATCTAGACACAAGATAGACACACAAGTAGATAAATCTAGACACAAGATTGATACACAAGTAGATAAATCTAGACACAAGATAGGCACAAAAGTAGATAAATCTAGACAAACGATTGACACACAGGTAGATAAATCTAGACACAAGATTGATGCACAAGTAGATAAATCTAGACAAAAGATTGATACACAAGTAGATAAATCTAGACACAAGATTGATACACAAGTAAATAAATCTAGACACAAGATTGATACACAAGTAGATAAATCTAGACACAAGATTAATACATAAGTAGATAAATATAGACACAAGATAGACACACAAGTAGATAAATCTAGACACAAGATTGACACACAAGTAGAAAAAATCTAGACACAAGATAGACACACAAGTAGATAAATCTAGACACAAGATAGACACACGAGTAGATAAATCTAGACACAAGATAGACACACAGGTAGATAAATCTAGACACAAGATAGACACACGAGTAGATAAATCTAGATACAAGATAGACACACAAGTAGATAAATCTAGACACAAGATTGATACACAAGTAGACAAATCTAGACACAAGGTAGACACACAAGTAGATAAATCTAGACACAAGATTGACACACAAGTAGATAAATCTAGACACAAGATAGACACACAAGTAGATAAATCTAAGAAACAAGATAGACACACAAGTAGATAAATCTAGACACAAGATAGGCACAAAAGTAGATAAATCTAGACAAAAGATTGACACACAGGTAGATAAATCTAGATACAAGATTGAAACACACGTAGATAAATCTAGACACAAGATTGATACACAAGTAGATAAATCTAGATACAAGATAGACACACAAGTAGATAAATCTAGACACAAGATAGACACACAAGTAGATAAATCTAGACACAAGATAGACACACAAGTAGATAAATCTAGACACAAGATTGAAAAAAGTAGATAAATCTATGCACAAAATTGACACACAAGTAGATAAATCTAGACACAAGATTGACACACAAGTAGATTAATCTAGACACAAGATTGATACATAAGTAGATAAATCTAGACAGAAGATACACACACAAGTAGATAAATCTAGACACAAGATTGATACACAAGTAGATAAATCTAGACACAAGGTAGACACACAAGTAGATAAATCTTGACACAAGATTGACACACAAGTAGATAAATTCAGACACAAGATAGACACACAAGTAGATAAATCTAGACACAAGATTGACACACAATTAGATAAATCTAGACACAAGTTTGACACACAAATAGATAAATCTAGACACAAGATTGACACACAAGTAGAAAAAATCTAGACACAAGATAGACACAAAAGTAGATAAATCTAGACACAAGATAGACACACAAGTAGATAAATCTAAGACACAAGATAGACACACAAGTAGATAAATCTAGACACAAGATAGGCACACAAGTAGATAAATCTAGACACAAGATAGACACACAAGTAGATAAATCTAAGACACAAGATAGACACACAAGTAGATAAATCTAGACACACGATAGACACACAAGTAGATAAATCTAGACACAGGATAGACACAATAACGCTGGACTTATTTATTAAATTAATGCTTTAATTTATGATACTGCAGCTCCTTGCTCATCAAAGTTGTACAAAATAGAAATTATCACAGCAATAATGGAAGTCATGGTCAAATCTGACCAATGGAAGATATTCATGGTCACGTGATAATCTCACCACCTAAAAGTCATTTAATTGCTTTCTCTCTCTCTCTCTCTTTCTCTTTCTCTTTCTCTCTCTCTCTCTCTCGCTGTAACTCTTTCTCTAACTCTTTCTCTCTCTCTCTCTCTCTCTCTCTCTCTCTCTCTCTCTTTCTCTCTTTTCTTCCTCTCTCTCTCTCTTTCTCTCT